GAACATGAGGAACGACTCCCAGAGGTTTCAGAATTCGACTGTGATTGGTCAAGGCATTGCCTTGAGAATTGAACCAGGTGATGGACGTCACCCCCGTTTGTTCGCATTGTATCAGGCACAGCGAACGCAAACATTTGTTTTGTCTGCAGAACCCTGTGTAGTCATATATGTAGCTTCCAGTACACGCATGTACATTGTGTGCCTGATTGACAATCCCATATTGGTTATCAGTGTAATTCTTCACACACAGGATTACACAGCAAGCGTTGATCAATTACAGAATCACATCTAATGTTGGGCATTGGGTGTGTGAGTTTAGTACCTTGCTGGTTGTGAGAAGCCGAGGGGATATGCTGCTTGATGTGATCTTTGGGGACCCACATAAGTGGCATCATTCTGGCACTGAAATTTATATACCACACTGTTCACTTGTGCAATAAGCCCCTGGAATTGCAATTTTTACAAATTGTTTTGATGAGTGCAAGATGAAAATCTTTGATAAAATGCATCTTTTACAGAGATACCCGCATTCTGTATTACCAAACGACAATTAATCATGAGCTGATAATGTAAGTCACTCATTGAATATAACAAATTCTCTTTACCCATATCATCTCATGAGATTATTACTGTGAATGCTGAACGGACTATAGAATTGGAACCAAGAATTCACATCCACCATTCTTATCCACTCACCCCTTTCTGCACAACTTGAGTGATTTCTTCTAAGCCTCTGGTATAAATGTAATTAGGCTAAACACAAATAGCATTAATACTCTCGCACACAGGGGAAAAGTGTGAGACACACAGCTATGTAACAATTGGCAGCTCACCATAATTAAACACTTTCATGGTGTATGGTTACTGATTAAAGAAAATTAATTGTTATTTTAATCCTTTAAGTTTTTTTTTGCATTTTACAGTGCTCTTTCAGCTGGAACTGTTGTAATTTGTGATCATACTTACTCGCACAATGCCTGCTTTTTAACCTTCTCTTTATTGACATGCTTTTATAGTTGTTTCACTGTCTACAGGGTGGAGATGTCTGCTGCTCAATACCATGTAAAAAGCAGATCGGAAGCACATGGAGTGAGAGGATAACCCTGAAACTTTCAAAAGCTTCGAGGAATTTCAAGCTCTCTCCTCATTGAGTCATTGACACAGAAGGAGACCCCTTGGTCCATGAAGCTTCTCTGTTACTTCAGCTGGACAAAACACATACTATTAAGAGCTAATGGGTTTGGAAAGAGCTGTGTCAATAATTCATGTATCGAAATATGAGGCCACCCCGAACTTGACTGAATGTCACAGTCCATTCCTAACTTCCCTTTGGAAACCAACGATTTACCAGCTTCCTAAACTGCTGCAGTCCATCTGGGGAGGTACACACACAATTCTGCTTGGCAAAGAGTTCCAGGACTTTGACCCAGTGACAGTGAAAGAAAGTCAATGCAGTTCCATGTGGGGATGATGTTCAACTTGGAGGGGAACCTACAGATGGCACTGTATACCCCTGTACCCAATGCCATGCTCCTTCTAAGTCGTAGAGATTAAGTACTTGAAGGATGTTGTTTAATGACCCTTGGAGAGTTGTTGCAATGCATCTTGTAGTTGATTCTCGTTGCTGTCACTGCATGTTGGAGCGGACTGAATGCTGCTTGGAGTGGGGTGAGGTTAACGGTACTTTTGACGTGGATGGTGTCGAACTTACTAAGTGTTGTCAAAACTGCACCCATCCCAGCACATGGAGAGTATTCCATTGCACTCCTGACTTATGTCTGACCTGACCTGCAGTTGCCTGGATAGGTTTCTGGTCAATATTAACCACCCCAAGATGTTGATTGTGAAGAGATTCAACGACTGTTCATGCCATTGAATGTGAAGACAGATGATTAGATTGTCTTGTTAGAAATGGTCAGTGCCTGTCATTCATGCGGCACAAACATTACTTGCCATTCGTTAGTACAAGTCCAAGAATTGTTGTATTTGGACATGGAATGCTTCAGTCTTTGAGAAGTCACAAATGGTGCAGACAATTTACAATCATCAGGGAATATCCCCATATCTGACCTTATAATGGATGCAATGACATTGATGAAGTAGCTGATGATGGTTGGGCCTAGGACACTAAGATTGAATTCAGGGAGAATTGGCAGAAAGGGATTCCAACCCAAACCTCATGTCAAGGTCAGGCAAAGGCACCTGTCACAACCTTCACAGTGTTGGCATTTTAATGAGTAAAGACAAATGTTTGTCAGTGGGAGAAAATTTCAAATATGAACCTCAATGTAAGAGCATTGAGAAACACACCAAACCTGAGGAACTTCTTTGATGGTGCCCTGAGGCTGAGGCTTTCTGCCTCCAACAACCACAATCAAAAAATGTTTCATCAGCAGGTTACTATCAAATATCTCAAAGTTGCGTGAAATTGAGGGAGAGAGCTCCATCTCAAGAATGTTGGGAAAATACACTCAGACAATATTCTATTGCTAAAAAAAAAATGTTTTTAATGGACTTGTAGTAATCTCAAATGTACTGTCTAAATGAGAAGTGGAAGCAGATTGAAAGCTGATTTTCAGTAGAGAATCAGGTAAGTACTTGAAGATGAGAATATTGTAGGATTAGAAGCAAGAACTGGGCAGGAGGGTTAACTGAAAACAACAAGAGCTGACATGATGATCTGAATGATCTCCAGTGAATGTGTCTCTGACCACAGAGATATAAATTAGCTCATCCTACGCCATCCAAATCTGCTTGACCCACTGAAATTACAGGGGTAAGGTTGTGGAGATTGGAAGATATTCATGGATATGATAGGAAAGTGATTAGGTTACTGTCAATTATCATCCAGGGGTCTTGGCTAATAATTGGAAGTTAAAATCCCACCACAACTGCTGACGAATATCAATTCAACTAATCAAATTTAAAATAGCATTGGAATATAAAGCCTGTATAAGCAATGGTGACCTTGTAGCTACCGGTTTGCTCCAAAAACTCATCAGGTTCACCAATACCCTTTAGGGAACAAAATCTGCTTTTCTTACCTGGTCTGGCCCATATGTGGCTCCGAAGCGTCCTCTGAAGAGGCCTAAGCAAGCCGCTTCGTTATACTAAGGCAGTATAAAAAAAGTCACAATGGAAGTATGTTCAACACATGGACTACAACAGCTCAGGAAGGCAGCTCAGCAACTTAGCCATCAAAGAGAGAGGGAGTGCAATGAAAAAATGACCAAACTAATTCCTGGAATGGAAACCAGAAGAACTGTGGATGCTGTAAATCAGAAACAAAAACAGAAGTTGCTGGAAAAGCTCAGCAGGTCTGGCAGCATCTGTGAAGAAAAAAATCAGAGTTAAAATTTCGGGTCAGGTGAGCCTTCCTCAGAACAGGAGCCGAAACGTTAACTCTGATTGTTTCTTCACAGATGCTGCCAGACCTGCTGAGCTTTTCTAGCGACTTCTGTTTTTGTTTCTGGAATGGAAAGATTGTTCTATGATGCAAGATTAAATAAACTGGGATTTTACTCTATGGGATTTGAATACATTTAAAAGGTGACCAAATTCAAACACTCAACAACACAGGATAAACATAGCAGCAATGCTTCCCTTGTCTGGAGCATGAAGTGTCTCATACCAAGGGGAGACAGTCCTAGAATAAGAGGCAGGTCATTTAGGACTGAGATGAGGAGGAAGTTCTCTTGCATCTTTGTACTTCTATGCCCTGGATGTTTGAGGAGGCTCAGTTACGAAGAGACTGAGATCGATAGATTTTTGAATATTAAAAAGATCAAGGGATATAGAGATAGCGCAGGAACTGGACAATCAGCAATTATCCCATTGAATGGTGGAGAGGATTGCTGGTCTGAGTGGCCTCTTCCTGCTCCTGTTTCTAATGTTCTCATAGACTCAAGAACAATTATAGACTCAAGAACAATTATAGACTCAAGAACAATTAGAGACTCAAGAACAATTAGAGACTCAAGAA